CATCTTGGATGGAGGTGGACGCTGCCAAGGGCTAGCAGATTCGCCCTGTTCACCACACATGGCTTTCAGAGCGTACGAAGGCGTAGTGGCGAGCCAAGCGGCCACCCTATCCGAGCCCTGTTCCTGCAACGAAAAGGCATGGTGCGAGTCGCACCTAGCATCCTCTCCGATATCCAGCATGGAGCCTGCGCTCGTCAATCCTTGTCGAATCAACGATCTGGCCAGCTGATGCGTCGAGCGCGATTTGCGAATGTTGAAATTGCGCGCAATGGAGCGGCTGCTGCTGCTGCTGCTGCTGGATTGTCGAATGTTGTTGGGATGATAGCACGGCGCAGAGGATGCCCAGTGCTCCAGCTGTCCCAGCAACTCTTGAGCCCAGGACTCGCAAAGGTGCACATCGTGCATCGCTTGCTGATCGCCATACAGCTTTGTCGGCACGGGCGGCGCGGCAAGCGGAGAGTCGAGCACGCTGGCAAGGATCGCATCCACGCGCAGTTCCGAAGTCCACGTATCCAGTGCCGGCTCGCTCTCAATGTGAGGCGGCAAGTGCAGGGGGAAATCCATCTGGGAAACGTCGCTGGCACGAGGATAGTCCGACTCTCCATCGTTTTCATTCGCAGCTCGCACCATTTGCAGCATCATGAAGCAGCCCCACAAGGAACGCTTCAGCATCTCTCGATCCACTTCATCCCACCTTCGAGGATCGTACGCGTCCACGGATCGACTGCGCAGCGCATCCATCGATCGTCCCGTGTCCCAAGCAGCCTTTAGGACTTCGATGGTATGCTCGCGCGACGCCTCGTTGGCCAGATAGATGCCGACCAGCGCCAGCGCTTGAATGCGCTCCAGCGCTCCACCTTCCGGCCCGCCCATCGCATCTTGGCCGACGCCACTCCAGCCTTGTCGATTGTTGTGCGGAGCAAGCAGGCCGCGAGCTAGCTGATAGCAGCCGTGTCCAAACTCCCAGCCCAATGCAGCGCCTCCGGAGCTGAGCGGCAAGCCGTCGGAGATGCAAGAGGACATGGCTAGGATGGAGAGGATGAGGGCTTGGCGGTTGCGCAGCAGTGCAGGGCTCCACGAACGCGCAACGGACGATCCACTAGAAAAGCCGTCCAGCCTCTCGTTGGCCAGCTGCTGCAGGGCGGCAAAGATGCTTCGCACCCGCGGTTCATACACAAACGGGTGAATGTGGTTCTGATGGCCCAAAAACTCGTCCAGCAGAATGTTGGCCAATTCGTGCGAGATGAGCCGATCGACTTGCCATCGCGAGTGAGGAGTCTCGCTTTGCGTCTTGTGCCAAAACGACGCGCTCCTGTTCGACTGCGGTCGAGGCACGGCCGTGTCCGGATCAGCGCTGGGCACGATCGAGTCGGGATAGTCCCCCACGAGGTCCGCAACCGAGCGATAGTAGCGCAAAACATCTCGGGATTTCAGCTCGCCATTCGCATCGACCACGTACAGGACTTCTGGTGGGCGAATGGCGGTGCTGCTGCTGCTGCTGCTGCTGCTCCAGCCTGGCGCGGGTGCGCTCATGAGCTGCTGACTGTCTGCCATTCGAGCGCCAAAGGCGTTGCCAGCGACGGGCTGTCCAGCGACGCTCGTATGACGGCTGTGACTCCAATCCAGGCTCGTCGCCGCGACTGCGCCGAGATGATTGTCACCATAATGATGCTCGGCTGGTCTGCCGTCCCAAGTGTAGGCGCTGTCCGCGGAACGCATGCTGCCTGCCCCGCCGGCGCCGGCGCCGTGCGATGCGGCGAAAGCAGGAGAAGCGGGACGAGAGCGAGCGCTTTGAGCCCAGGCAGCGTGCGAGCTGTGATCATACTCAGCGGGTCGATAGTATCCCGGCTGCTGCTGCTGCTGCTGCTGCGGCTGCGCCGCCGTCCAATCGGGCGCCGATGCGTGACCAGTCTCTGAAGCGCTGGCAGAGCCCGTCGCGCTATTGTTCCATCCCGACGAAACGTCCGTGTGATGCGGTGGTGCGCCGTTGCCGTTCTTCTTGGCAAGCTTGGGCGCGCTTCCTGTCGCCCCTTTGCTGCCCGCATCGCTCTTGGTCTTTTTCTTTTGCTTGGGACGCGCACCGTGAAATACGATACCTGCCGCCTCCATGATCTGACGCTCCTTTTTGCTAGGTGGGCCACGCTTTCTCAAGACGTCTTCCGTCGTGCACACCCTACCGCTTTGTTGACAATTTCCGCACGTCGGCTTTTCGCGATCGCACTGGCGGGAGGGGGGGAAAGAAGCAGCGCGTGAGTAGGAGCCGAACGGGGGGGGGGAAGAAGTAGCAAACGTGAGCAGCCGCCGTCCGCTCCCAACTCACTCTGATCTTGCGCCTTCGACAGCGGTCACAGCTGGGCGCTGGTTCCGTGCTGTCTGGCATACGAGCACGAAGGGACAAGAGCACCTCTTTTGCCTTTTCGGGATCAGCAGCGCTGCTAACGTCCGTTCGGCCAAGAGGAGGCTTTTTAGGTTTGACGGGTCTCGAGGAGGAGGATGCTGCGCGGCTTGCGCTGCCTGTGGCCGCCGCTGCGGCCGTTGGTAGATTGTTCGCGGCGGCGCTCGTGTGCAAGGAAGAGTGGCCGTTCAAGGGACGAGGAAGGTGACCGTAGCTGGCAGCTGCGGGCAAGTGGGAGTGGGAATGGGAGCCAGCTTGACCGTAAGGCGAGGGTTCTTGAGGTAGGAAACCGGAAGAACTAGCGCTCGAAGTGCCGTGAGCCGAGTCGGCATAGTTGGGCCGCCCGTAAATGTCTGCGCTGCTGCTGCTACCACCACCACCACCACCAAAGTCGCTAGGGTGAGGATGAGCACCGTAGAAGGAATTGTTTATAGAGTACCCGAGGCTAGACGCCGAGTCGTGACTTTGAGCGCCGCCGCTTGGCCAACCTGATGAGCCTGCACCGTGCACCGTATGGGCCGAAGAGGGATAGTGGCTGTTGGATGAGGATGCGAAGGCAGAGTATGCGGAGCCTGGAGGAGCAGACAGGGGTTGCTGAGAGTAGGATCCAGCCGAGTAGCCGTATGGATCCGCACCTCCGCGGCCGGACGAGTAGTGGTGCTGACCAGACATGG